GCGTTGAAAAGGAAGGAAATTCAAAAAAAGGTGCCGCCGGGGGACGAGGATTTTCAGTGAGAAACCTAGGCCACGGCACCTGACAGCCTTTTTTTCAAGTCGCAGACAGTGGTTTTTTACGTTTTTTACCTGCCGGACATGAAATTGAAAAAAATCCGGAAAATTTGCCACGTAGGAAAGGCGCCCGCTGCCGTGGTCTAGGTTTCTCACTGAAAATCCTCGTCCGCCGGCGGCACCTTTTTTTGAATTTTCTTCCTTTTCAACGCCGTTTTTCGGGGATTTCGGATGTTTTTGGATTTTTTTCGCAATAGTATTCGGAAAATAGATAACTTTTAACACATTTTAATGCAATAAAAATTTTTGGTCGGAGTCCCCCTTTAATTACACCCTTCAATTGAGTACCCTCATTCTAAAAAATAATTTTCAAGAATTGAGAAAAAATTTCGGTTTTTCACAAGAATTTTCAAAAAATTCTGAAAAAAAAGTTCAGTTCCAACTTATCCATAATTCGAAATAGAAAACGTTTCAATTAATTAAACCTTTGCATAACATAATTTGAATTCTTAAAATTTAAATTAGAAAAACTAAAAAACGTAATGTTATGAGAAAGAGTGAGGAGCGGAGCGACGTACAACTGAAACAAATTGGTTACATCGCGCCGAAGGCATACCAGCCAGCTGTTTGAAGCGTCAGAGACGCGGATTCTGAACAAAAAAAAATTGAAAAAAACAAGTTTTTGGAGTATTCGGAATATTTGGAAAACGTTGGGATTTTTCGGATTTTTCCCCCAGAAAAAAACTCAAAAAATCATCAAAGAAGCATCAATCTTTGACGGGACCTTTGGTTCCCACATCCCATACGAGAGATGAGGGGATATGAAGAGACGCAGAGAAAACAAGCAGTTGCCTCTCTCCAGAATCTCCTTCTTATCCTGTGTAAAAAAAAGAAAAAGAACAAAAAAATTCTTGGGAGCCGCCAAAAAATGCTCCATCGTCAGAGATCTCTATCGTTTACCGGCGGAACGCCGACGTCTCCAATTTTCGACGTCTGTTTCGATGACGACGACGATGACGTGGCAAGAAGTCAGTTTTTGGCACCGTGCCAAAAATTTTGGGGTGATGAAGAGGACGAGAGAGAAGAGACGCCGACGGGAGAAAGTAAGTTTTTTTTTGAAAATGTTGTTTCGGTGTCAGGTTTCAGAGAGGGGTAATTAGCAGGGGGTAATTAAATGAAAAAAATTGGGTTTTCTTTTTGAAAAATACGTCGTACTAATCAAAACTGTCCCTATCTGGAATTATGGATAAGTTGAAACCGAAATTGTTTCCTAAATTATTCTAGATAATCATATTTTCTAAACTCTTTATTGCACTTCCTAATTAGTTACTCTTATTGATTTTTTTTGAAATTTGAAATCTTGGTTTCCAAAAAATGACTTCTGAGAAATTGTTCCCGAATTTTTTGACAAAAAATCTAGGTAACTTGAAACTGGAAAAGTATTTTTTTTCAGTTTTTTGTTTTTTTCTAATTTTTTGAATTTTTGAAAGACTGATTAATCGAGATACTCTGTTTTTGGATCATTGACAATTTGGAACTGAACACTTTTTTTTCGAAACTTTAATTGAATTTTAAAATTTTTATGGAAGCGCCGAAATATGTCGATTTACAATCAAGGATAATTTTTTATTGAAACTATTTTCGAGAATAGGTTTAGAATAAGACTAATCAATTAAAGTGTGTAATAAGGTGCTTGAATATTAGAAGTTTCCAGAAAAAACCTAAAATCTTGAAAATTAATAATTATTAAATCAATATACTTCAATGTCAACGATTAACGAATATATCGACTTGAAATTATCGTCGACTTGAAATTATATATCGACTTGAAATTATATATCGACTTGAAATTATCGAATGGGTGATTAATGGAAGTATTCTTCTTTTGAAATTATTGACGAATTGAAACGGGGGTTTTTTTTCTATTTTTCGAGAAATTTTGGAATTTTTTTCCAAAATTTTTTAAAATTCTTTTAGAAATATTTTTCAGTAGTCATGGTGGTACCAAGAACTGACGGAATAAAAACTGGTAACATGACAGGTACAAATGAGGACTAGACAAATGAGAACGAGTTTAACGGCTCTAATTCGTAGTTCAGTATCTACAGTATTTCCTCTAATAGAAACTCACCTCTATTTAAAGCCCACCACTAATACATAGAAGCTCACCCTGGCTATGCATTTTTCTTTTCATACTCTTTTTTGTTTATTTTTCTGGTACTTTCTGTTAATTGTTGTTCTTTTTTCAACAATTCCAGTTCAGTTAAAAACCGAAAACCCTCTAATTTAAAATATTAGTCCACCCCCAGAAAGAGATTGGAAAATAAAAGCCCAATGGCTTCTATTAGAGGAAATACAGTAACTTTTTCGGAAAAATAGTTTCGGAACGATCTCGTTTTTCCCAATATTTCATAATTTTCCAAAAAAAAAGTTTAAGACATGTTTTCGACCAATTTTTTGAGTTTTCATCTGTAGCAGTCCTTTTTAACAGTCCTCAAGAGAGTCCTCAAGAGATATTTTTGAAACTGGAAAATATGAAAGATTTGGTTTTATTGCTCTATCTTTGAAAAAAAAATTTGTTAAGTAATTTTTTGATAACTTTAATAAGTAATAAGTGTTTAAAAATTAGGAAATTCTGGAAAAAATGAAAATTAAAAAATTGTTATCGAATCAATACTCTTCGACTTATACGAATTGCCCTACATACTTCGATTAATAATTATGGATATTCTGAAACTGAAAAATTATTCTTTTTTCTAGAAAATTAGATTTTTTGAAAAATATTCGAATTTTGCCAGGATTTTCGAATTCATCATCAAAACGTTATTAGATTTAGAATTATGAATAAACTGATACTCGATTACAAATTAAGGACTAATCGAAACTTGAGACTTTGAAAAAAAACCAAAATTTGTGTAGTTGATTTTGTGAACATTTTAAATGTTTTGGCAATTAATTTTGTGTTTTAAAGGTGGGGGGACAGGAGATTTTACGGGGGATTTTTGGGGCCAGAGTATGCATTCTACCGTAACGGTGTACAACGCCTAATGTCACTCTGCGTACAGCTGTCGCCCTCGCCTTTATGTATGCAATCGGGCAGCGGCTTTCTCTTTGCACGCGTAGCTCAGTCGGTAGCGGCGCCGCACCTTCAACACTCGCCTCGACAAGTTCAACTCCTCGAGGAGCATATTTAAACGAAATTTCGACAACATTATTTTTCTCATGTCCCCCACCTTTAATAATAGAATGACCGGATTTTCATATTTTTATCTGAAAACCTGGAAAATTATGAACGGGATTTTTTTCATAAAACTTTTTTTAAATGTTTCAAGCTGGAGATAATTTCATCAACCTACATAGTTGCGTGATCAATCGATGAAACTCGAAATTGTAAGGAAATTTTTAGAGGTTTTTATTAAATCGGACGATTCTTCAAAAAAATGATACGTTCAAAATTCTAAAATCAGTTCGATTTAGAAATCATTTCAATAAGATCCCCCCTCCCTCGCAATTCGTTCCAATCTGACTACCCACGCGGGGTGGTATTCCTAAGATTCCGTTTGGGGATGCATACTGGTTAGGGGGGGGGGGGGGCTTATATTCATATTCTGGACACTGAAGTGTCCTCCCACCTGATCATCCCATTTTGAGCTCCCACCTTTCAACCCCCCCCCCCCCCATTTTTCAACAGGGGGGGGGGGGGGGGTTATAATGGAATTTTCTCGTTTCACCAACATTTCAAACATCTTTGGGACTATTTTGGTTACTACTGATTGGCTTGATGAAACCAAACTTTTTTAGTTCTAGCTGATAGGAAAAATCATTATAAATTATTTTACAGTTTTTATAACTAGGTTATCTGAAACAGATTTTTTGACATTTCTTTTGGATAGTTATGGTGGCACCAGGAATGAGAACTGACAAACCAGAATTCAAAAAAAACTAGCTGAAAACATAGCAAATTTTTTTTGGAAACTCTTAGAAGATTGAAAGAAAACCTGATTGTTTCTAAATTTTATTCACTGTTTCATTTTTCTCATATATTTTCCAAAGTTTCAATTTGATGATTCTTATTTTTGTTTGTCGTTCCCGATATTTCAAGATTTCAGTTGAAGTTTGGGAAAGTTTCCGATTTCAGACTCTTTTTAGTCTTTTTAAAACATGTGAATCAGGAAATCTAGCCTTTCATTCCATCAGGTTTCCTCTTCACTTCCCGCGCTCCACCCGAATCAATGTCTCCAAAGAGGGACAGATGATGTCCGGAGGAGTGACATCTCTTCCAACATCTGCGTCTCCTCGCTTCTAACACTCTCTCGCTTTTTGCCATTCCCAACGATGCTCTTAATTGTTGAGAGAGGGGTGCTGGTCAGATGCCTGCCCCCTTCATACCCTCTTTTGGGAACAAAATCGATTTTTAAATTTTTCAAAAATTTCAAACAAACACCACCGGCTGACGGTTTCATTTTTTTGAATTTTGTTTGTTTCGCCTTTTTCCTCTATATGTATGTAACTATGTTTGTTCATATGTTCTCCTTCTGTTTTTCTTATGGCTTCTCTGCGCCTCTCTCTCTCTCTCTCTCTCTCTCGCTCTCTCTCTCTCTCTCTCTCTCTCTGCCATATATCCTTCACAAACTTCCAGAAAAAGAAAAGGAGAAACATAAGAAATGTTGTGGTATGAATAATAAAAAACATGGAGAAGAAAAAAAGAGGCAAGAAAGGAGAATAAGGCTCCATTGATTTTTAGTATTCTTTTTTTTTCTTTTTCATTTTTTCAATTTTTTGAGTTCATTGGATAATTATTAATTTGAAAAAAGTTTATTCAAACTTTTAAGACTATCTTAAATCAGATTTTGTTTTCATTTTTTTTCACAATTTTCAGCTATAGCATTAAAAAATGCACAGACTTTTCAATTTGACGAACATTTTGAAACAGTAGTTTCCGTTCAAAAATTAAGCTACTACTCGATTTTCTGCATTTATTTTTGAATCTGAAACACTATTCATTTTTTAGTTTTTGTTTCAAAAATTTTGAGAACTTTTTGTTTTTCCCAATTTTTTATACTCACATTTGAATATATCATTCTGGCGGTAAATTTATCCCCTCTCGTTTTTTTTTCGGTATAACCTTTTTTATCAATTGTCAGATGGACCTGAATTTTTTGAGGATACGGTAAACACTCTTACGACAGATAATAGACAGAAATTGCCTGGAAAAAATGACGATTAACAAATCAGGCATTTTTTGTCTATAATGTGTCGTAATGGTACTCAGTCTGTGAAACCGAAAATTGTTTTTGTGATTTCAGTTATAATTTTTTCTGTTTCTTGTAGTTTTCTTGAAAATTGATTCGAATGTTATTTTCAATCCATCGAAGAAACGAATCTCTAAATTCGTACCAGTTTCGAATTTTTAGATTTACGAAAAATCACTGTTTTTCTGTTATTTTTAGGTCTCGAAATGTTGAACGAATCTAGTATGTATTTACGAAATAGTACGAATTTATAGCCAAATCAAAAACCGATTCTTTCATATGTGTTTTTTTTTCTCTTTGAAATATGATTCCAATTTTTTGCCAATAAAAAATCCCATTATTTTTCGCATAAATAATGGGAATAATTTTTTTGTGGAAATCGAAATATTCAAGAATAAATGTTTCTGTTTCAACCTGATCATTTTGTTGTAAATTTTGAAAAATCTGAGCTATGGTGATTTGAATTCCTTCCAATTGAAAAAAATTTGAAAATTAATCACCATAAATTCACAATACCTATTAATCCAATATCCCATGAGAATTATGGGCAAAAATCCTATTTTTAGTTGTTTTTTTAGCTCATGTCTTTGAGCTCAATTATCTTGCTTCCTCTAAAAGATGTCAGAAATTTCCTAACTGATAAAATAATAATAATAATATCAGCAACATTTTATCAATCAACAGAATTTCGATAACTTTTCCAGAAGTTGAGATAATTAAGCTCAAAACACAAGGCTAGAATTAAAGACCATTTTTCCTTTTTTCAGGCGTAATGGCCACCCTCCACAACAAAGTTGGAGCAATTATACAGGATGGAATAGTAGAAGGACAACGATTTGCGTTGAGTTCGGATTTATGGAGGTGAGAAGACAAAAAATGAATTTCTCGAAAATCAGAAAATTCCCTGTTTCGAAAATAGGAAATCTGGTTTCTATTTATACAAAAAATGCTGCAAGCTTTCTAACATTTACTCAGATACGCCTCCACATCAACGCATTGTGATCTGCTGATCACAATGGCATTTTCAAATGATGACGTGGAAAACAAGACATCCGTAATGTGGTTGGTACAACAGATGAAAGAGCATGAGCCGAATTTGAGGGTGGAAATCAGATATCACCGGTTGAACAGTTGTTATGCCATTTATTTAACGGCGGATTATAAAAGGTGAGTGAGCTACGAGGTTGTAGTTGAAGGCGCTGATCATTATAGATAATTGTAGAAGTGCGACAAGGAGGAACACTATTACCTAAACATGTATACTATAAAAAAGTTGTTAAACAGAGAAATTTTTTATGGTCTGAAAAGAAACCTTTTTTTCAGAAAAGCCTATTTGATTTGAATTTGATATCTTTGAACTTGCGATGTTTATAATATAAAAACAGAGTTTCATTTCTCTTGTTGACAACTTTTCTCTATATACCGTAGTTTGTGAGATATGCGGCTTTAAAGTTAACCTCATCTGATCTTGAAGCTCAAGTTTAAAGGCGCATAGTTTAAAGGTGTTTTTGATTGGTCAAAAGATTTAATCAAATTGAATTAGTATCGCGTAGTTGTTAGGGCACTTTAAAAATATGCTCTTTGCGAACTACGCGGTTGCAGCTACCTCAAGCTAAGTTAAAAGTTTGAAAAACTACTGTTCCATCTTTGTCATATTCGATGTGTATGTATGGAAGATTATTTATTCCATTTCCAGCTTGCTCAAAGGCGCCGAATTGTGTCATATCAAAAAGGCGATAAAATCGAAGTTTGGCGGTGGCATGCGAGATTTTTCATTCGAAGAAGCCCAATTTTTCGCTGGTGTTGAAGGCAAAAACACATTTTTGTCACCGATGGAACGAACGCTGATTGTGAAACAAATGGTGGATATGATGAGAGCTGGAAAAGGAGGATTGACATTGAAACTGCCGAGACGGACCATAAGTTTTACGGAAGGAACTGCAATAGTTCCACGCCTTCAGTCGACAAATGTGGTGCAACATGTGTCAGCATTACATAATACAGAGTTCTTGAAACATTTACAACAGAAGTGGGTCACTTCCATTGAAGCGCAACCCATTGATCAGGTACGGTCGGAGGCAAGACTGTAGGAAACAGGGCCGTGGTTTTTAATTAGGGTACTGTACTTCTTAGTTGGTTAGGATTAGGCGGCCTGGCGGTTCTAGAGGGCGGTTTGGTCCGCGGCTACTTATGGCCCGGGCCGCGGTTCGGTTTCCGAGAGCCTTGCCTGAAGATGACAAATCAAATTTTTATAATGTTTCAATTAAATTTTAAATGGTGTGCAATTGATTTTTGCGCATTAATGTATTCGCATATTTCTTTATTTTTTTATTTTCTTCTTGTTTCTAATATCAATGAAAAAATAGGGCACCGAAAAAACAGTATCATATTTTGACTTCATTAGTGGCAAATAGTCAACTTCGATGCTCTAAAAGAATAGTTCAGAATTTTTCAACTTGTCTGAAAATTTCAGAGTATACTAAACAAAATTAGAGCTTCAAATTTGTAGTTGACAACTTTTTCGTACAAACCCGGCAACATTCAAAAATGTCCTAAATCTCATTTCATTGCTAATTCCCGCACTTTTTTGGTTACAAACATCATATCTTCTTTGAATGAAATTTGACTAAAATTTGGTTAAAGGAGGCCGACACCAAAAAAGACACCAAAAGAAAAATTTTTCCTGATTTTTTGCATAGAGAACCCCCATGAGGGGTTGAACTCATGACAGGCAGATCAGGGGTACGGCGCCGCTACCGGCTGAGCTACGGGGGGGGGGGAAGGCGCCTGACGACCGATGGTCTACATAAGCGCGGCGCGATTTCGACCCCCGAACTGTCCCCGAAATTTTTGCTGTCTTGCCTTTTTTAATTACAAAATTGAAGCTCTAGTTTTGTTTAGTTATGCTCTGAAATTTTCAGAAAAATTGGAAAATTCTGAACTACTTTTGTAAGACTCCAAAGATTACAGTTTTTGATTGAAAATTTCAAAATAAGATTTGTTTTTGTTTGTTACTGTATTACAAAGGACAATTTGGATTTCACATTTTCTTTTCGAAAGTTTACAGTTTCAAAAACCTTACTTTTGATGAGTTTGGTTTTTTCGGTGCTTCATAGAAATAATTTATTGTTATGACACATCAGATCTACAGTACGAAATGTCCTCTGTTTCACTCAACCTTTAACTTTAATGACTTTTTTATTATTTTAACCTTTTAGCCTTACAAAGTTTATATTCCAGATCAAAGACTACTTCGGCACCGAGATAGCCATGTACTTTGCATGGCTTGGCCATCTGACAACTGCTCTTTGGTTTCCATCACTTTTAGGAATCGTTATGTGGTTTTTGGGAGGGTTCAAGTACAAAAATAATCCCGGTGATAAGCAGGATTTGTATCAGGTTGGTAAAAATTTTACTATTTTTCCCTTACTTTTAATTTATGTCAATTTATCTCACTATCAGTTCCCATAAATGATTTTTTAAAGTTTTCAACTGATAAATTGATTTTCTTAATATCAGAAGTGTTTTGTTGGTGGACAAAATTTGTATATTTTTCACAGGAATTGAGATAATTGAGCTCAAAAATATCTGAAATAAAAATTGAAATCTTCGTCGATTAATCTCACTGGATGAGACATTGATGAAGTTTGAAATTAAAGAATACCTAAAATTTGGTGAACACAATTCAGATTTTAGGAAATTTATTACGAAGTGAGCAGGTTGAAACAGGAAAAATATCTTACAGTAGGCGAATACAGACAACCCAATAATTTTTTTCAGCTAATCTCCGACATTTGCTTTGTTCTCTTCGCTTTCTTCAACTGCATCTGGTCCACAATCTATCTGGAATGGTGGAAACGAGTTCAAGCGGAATTGGCGTTCAAATGGGGGACATATGACGCGACCCAAGATTCATACCTTCAGGATCCGAGACCCGCGTTTCAGGGAGATTATTTGGCGCCGAATCCAGTGTCCGGGAGAATGGAACCGTTTTATCCTGCTTGGAAGCATATTGTTGTGAGATATGGTGAGTTGAGCTACGCGGATGTTATGACAAACTACAGTACTGGCCAAAAAGGTATTCGCAAACGGTTTTTTGAGAGTAACTTTGCTGAAACTTAAGGGATCGATCTGAAAATTTTACTGTGCATGTCGTACACGGTGACGACAAATTGCGTACAAGGAAATTGCATCATTTTCAGAAATTTTTTGTTTTTTTCAATTTTTTCAATTTTTTCGTTTTTTCACTTTTTTCATATTTTTATATTTTTGGATATTATGGTTTCTAAGAATGTTGGTTTTGGCTCCTATGTATTTAAAACTGTTTACAGACATGGCCAGACCCCTCGGAAAAAAAAACATCTCTCAGGACATCCGTAAAGCCATCGTCATCGGCTTCAGAAGTGGATGTTCCAAGGACCTCTTGGCGCAGCAGTTCAATGTTACTAAACGTGCCATCGAGAAGATCTTGAAGCAGTTTCGGGATGAGGTAATATTCAAAAATAGTATAGTTATGAAAAAAAAAGGTTTAGGGAGCCTTGGTGGAGCGAAAATCGCCTGGAAGACCGCGTATCACGTCGAAGAACATGGATCGGAACATCGTCCGAGTTTCAAGAGAGGATCCCCAGAGGAGTTCTACGGACATTCAGATGGTCGTGAAGACTCCAAATGAAGTCACACCATCCCTGAGAACCGTACGGCCAGCTAAGAAACCATCGATCAGCAAGAAGAACAGAATCGCCCGCGTAGCATGGGCCAGAGCTCATCTCCACTGGGGACGTCAGGATTGGGCTAATCACGTGTTCAGCGACGAATCCAAGTTCAATCTGTTCGGTACTGACGGTATCAAGTGGATTCGCCGTCCGGTTGGATGTCGGTTCGATCCCAGCTACCAGCTCCAAACCGTCAAGCATGGAGGTGGATCGGTGATGGTCTGGGGCTGCTTCTCTGGGACTTCAATCGGCCCGCTGAGAAGAATTACAAGCATCATGGATCGCTTTGTGTATGAAGACATCTTGGAGAACACAATGAGACCCTGGACAAGGTCTACTGTGGGCCGGGCGTTCGTTTTCCAACAGGATAACGACCCGAAGCACACCTCGAAGCACATCAAGGAGTGGTTCCGACGCCGCCACGTGGATCTTCTGGACTGGCCAAGTCAATCTCCGGACTTGAATCCGATCGAACACCTCTGGGAGCATGTCGAGAGACAGCTTAGAGGGGTTCGTGCCTCGAATGCCAACCAGAAGTTCGACCAACTCCAAGATGTCTGGCAGGCCATCCCGATGTCTGTCATCGACACCCTTCTCGACTCGATGCCAAGAAGATGTCAAACGGTAATCGACGCCAAAGGCTTCCCAACGAAGTACTAAAGCTATTTTATTCATTTTCTATTATTATTTTTCGTTTACCGGTCTATCCTAGATCTCAGAAGTCAAAGTTCCATTTACCGGTTTTTTGCAATTTTCATGAATTTTTCGATTTTTTTTCAATTTTTTGAAATTTTGACTATTCTTGTTGTTGAATCAGTTTCTTTTACCGTTTTAAACTTTGTCTTAAAATATCAGATTGATCGGGAAGTTTCAGAAAAGTTATGCTCGAAAAACTATTTGCGAATACCTTTTTGGCCAGTACTGTATTCTGTCATCTGACAAATTTTTGGAATTATTGTCTATTCAAAATAATCGCGCGGGTGAACGAGTAAAACAACGTGTAGAGAGTCTCCAAACCTGTAGAGGCGC